AGAAACAGATTAAAATGTTATACTAATGGAAAAATATTTTATTTATATAATAAAATATTCGTTGCCACTTTTTTTCTCTTTCTAATAAAATGGCTTATGGTGTGGTCTTCAAACTTTGCCCATGAACAAACAATTCAAAGATGGGTGATGTCAGTTAAAACATTTTGGTTTTGAAGTTTGGGAACACTGTATTTTGGTTGTAGACTTCTACATAAAAGTGCTTTTTACTGTAAATTAACTTACTCATTAATAACTGGTTTAAGTTGAAAATGAAAGGCTTTGTTTAAAAATAACATGGCATTTTAATAATTTTAAATATCTGTCAAAACATCTTAATAGAATTCTTGAAACCAATAATTAAAATAATACAGAAATATTTCCTTTCATTTCCACTAATCTCTTTCCTCGCAGATAACAGTGACAAGTCAACTGGTTAATAGCATGAAAAAGGGCTGGGAAAAAAAAATGCAGCACACAGTTGTTAGACAATATTTGGTGAATAATCAGTGGATCTTTGAGCTCCAGACCCTGCTATTGCTTCTTTGTTATTGAACTCACTTCAGCCATATAAAACATTTAATTATTTTTTTTTGAAAAAATTTAATCTCAGGCAAACATAATTCAGCTGAATTGAACTAATCTAGGAAAGTTGTTGCCTTTGATCAGCCATTTCCCTGTAGCCATGGCAAGCAGCTTGCAGAACAAGGAAATTCCATTTCAGTGTATTTAGATAATTAAAGAAATCCTTTTTTTTTTTTTTTTTTTCCTGTTTCAGAACATAAAAACCATCCACAAAACCCCCACCAAAACCAAAGCTTTAAAATGGCACTGTTGGTTGGGCTTACAAGTGAAGATTACTCGTTTTATTAAGTATTAATCTCTGTGTTAAATATGTCTTCTGGATTTATAGAGAGAACTGGATAGGATTATAGATCAAATGTCAGTACTATATGCGTTTGTTAGTCTCTACAAAATAATCTCAGATATATGCTTCATAAACTGCGTTGTGTTAAAATGGTAAATATGAACTTGGCCTCTTGTCTGCTATGCTGATTTTGAGTAAACTTTGTTAAAGAGTATTGCTCATCTTTAATGTGACAGCTGTAAGTCCAGCTGAGGGATCAGTCTCTTTAGGCAAGAAACAACCAAATATAGTCTACAAATGGTGTTATGAAGGATTGTAATTTGACAAGGAAATACAGGGCATAAAGAAGTAAATAGGAAAAAGGTCACAGATGGGGTGACTAATATGAATATGTTTGTAAAAATGAGAAGCTTCTGTGCGTCTTTCTCCTTTTATTTACTTGGACTTTGATAGTCAATGGGATGCAATGAAAGTGCAGAGCCCAGCTTACATAGAAGCTGCTTGCAAAAATACACAGAAGTTGCACAAGACTCAGAAGAGCTTAGGCTAGTATAGCAGCCTTCTTCAAATGCTGATGTATTGTAAAACCCATTAAAATTAGTTGTTAGACCAATGAGTGGACAACATCAAATAATCCTTTAAGCTTGTTATCATTACATGATAATGTGTTTCAAGTTCAATTATAACATATTTTTATGCCTAGCAAAATCTAGTATCTACAGATTTCAAAACTGATCTGTACTTTTGCATTGGGTTTATCTGTGAAAGAAGCAGTAGTCAACTAGCAGTCATTGTGCTGAATTTCCAGACAAGAAATGCTCTTTTTCTTCTTATGAGAGCCAGTAGATTCAGCTAGAGCCTGGAGCTTCGCATTTCGTTTTCCTTGTAAATGATTGCTGTTTTAAACCATTGGTTATGGTTTATTTATAGAATAATACATAGTTCACCACTAAATGCCAAGCTATAATTGAATCAAAAGATTCTGTTGATGCCTCGACTCACAAGGGTGCAGCTCAAGAGCTTTATAAAGGGCAGCAGAATCTGAATCTAAATTACAGCCCCCAGTATTCAGTCTGGGATCACGCATTATAGTGCATAATAGGGCTAAAAGGATTATTATAATACTGCAGTAAATAAAAAGAAAATGTATCAAACAGAGGAATTCAGAATGCTTGCAGAGGCTTTCAGTTTATGATATGAAATAAAGCTCGAGGAGAAGTATTTCATGAACACATTTATGTTCTTAGAAAAATATTCTGAAGTTACTCTTAAATAAAAGGAAAATATATGCTCCATAGATTAATCCACAGTAAATTCATAATGTTCTGCTATGTGGCTATAACTGGTTGATTCCAGATGCCACATAGCTATTTCCTGGCATAATTGGGCAATAATTATGTTATAGAAGGAAACTATTAATTCATATATCTTTGATGATTTTTTTAATAAGCTTACAAACATTGAAAATTTAAATCTAGTTAACCAGTGTGAGAATAATACAGAAAACTATTTTTTTTTAGTACAAAAAATGTCTTATGACAAAAAAGGTTCTCAGACTCAATTCACAAAGACAACATTCTTTAATTTGCGAAAGAAACTTGACTGACAAAGCATATATTTTTAGGCTAACATGAAGATTATTTTTGACACAGATACTTTGTTTTGGTTTAGAATGTGTTTTCTTAAAAATGAGTAATGATAAAGCCTTTACACTTTTTTCCTTACTGTCTGCTAATCTGTGGTGTATCTGTTGGACTATAACCACGGACATGTTTATCCTGGTTCCTCACACCAGGCTGTAATTAGTCCAGCAATTCCCTAATGTGACCACAGTAAGTTTGCAAAACCGGTGATGCTGTGGAAGCTCATCATATGCCTTCCAAAGTGTTTCTACGTTTTCCTCTGACCCTCTCCAGGGTAAGAGATAAAATAGCAGACTATATAAAGACATTGGTCAGACCTCAGGGTGGAATTGCTCTGTGGATTTAGGGTACAGTTCTTTACAGATATTACTGGAATTACAAATATTCAGGAGATAATTAGATATTTTGAACTTTGTCCAATGTATGTTTACGGAACAGCTCCTTGGGAAAGACTGGGAAAATGTTGGTAGCTTGTTTTCTGATAACTATCAGTCTAACATCTACGTGGGAAATCACATATGTGCAAACTCTTACTTACCACGTAGAGGAATATAATTATTTTTAATATGAAGTTCAGCAAAGTCTGCTTTCCACTGGCATTTTTTTCCTACAAAGCATTTGTTACCAAATTGAATTCCAATTCTGAATAATACATAATATATTCTTTATAACTTTTCTTGGAGTCCCATTCTCAGAGTCTAATAGGGCATTATTTCCAAAACTATCTTTTCAATAAGTTGTAGTAAATACTTAAGAAAGATTAGAAGTCATGCAATAAACTCACAGTGTTGATATACAGAAAAATGTCTGATGAACCCACAGATAAAATATTTGTACAAAGCACCACAGAGATGCTTGCTACTACACCAAGACATTATACATACAAACATTGCTTCAGGCATCATGGGAGACTGAGGAAATGTAACAGGGTTTTTGTTGGGTTTTTTTTTGTTGTGTTTTTTTTTTTTTTCCTTTGAGAATTACTTTTTCCTTCTGGCAATATCGTAAAGAGTAAGAACAAAAATACATTCTAAGTGAAAAATTTATGTTAATAAATGTAGGAAACGTAGTAGGTTGGGCCCTGCAGGGATTTATAGAGGGGAAACAAGAAAAGTTAAAGGAACCTGTAGCACCTGCAATAAAAATACCCACAGAAAGGACAAGGATGAAGTAGGATGATATTTGCTAATGAAAGAGGATTAGATTGTCCTTACTGCTATCTTGGAAACTTTAGGAAACGGTAACAAAGACTTCACTTTTATAAAGGTGGTAAGGACAGATGAGAGATTGCAGGAAGACTTGGCTTTTGAAGAAAGTCAGAAATAAGTAGGGGCACATGTTATATAAATATTTGAGGCTCTGAATTAAGAAGATATTGTGCTTTAATTATGCAGGACAGATACTTCATCAATAGAAAAAGATTATCAAAGTAGGCCTTTGATGAAGTATATTGGCCAAAAATGTTTCTGTGCATCGTAATGCAGAGTATGAATTGCAGGGGATTATCTGTTACAGATGTGAATGCTGGTTTTATTTGTTGTTGCTTATTTGGATAGTTTGTACAGTATCTAGGAACATTTGGTAGAAAACACAAAATGTAAACACAAAAGGCAAACAATTTCTAAAGAGCTCCATTCCCAATTAGTTATTTACATTAAACAACCCGTTTTCTGAAAATGCTGTAACCTGGCAAGCCCCACTGAGAACTATGTGAAAATCTGTCCATTTCTCCAAAGCACCTAATATAAATCTGGGAGTCTTTGATACCCTTGCACAAGTTTTTTTTAGTGTTATGTCATTTTAAGGATTGGAGAAGAAAGGCCTCTCATACCAGTAATCTTTCTTGCATTTCTGCAACACATGCATTGCCAACCAAAGAAGTGACCCAATTTAAAATCATTTTAATGATTCGCACAGGTTTACCCATGAAGAATCTATACAAAATCTTTTTATGTTGAGCTGATCACTGTAACAAGCCATTGGTGACACAGTATAGTGAATATACTATTGAAGTATTCTGTCTCTCTTACAGAGAGTTACAGTTTAAGAAAATAAACCACATGTAGAGCAAATTTCTTAAACCTCTCCATCATGGTTTAATGATGTATTAATGCAAATTAAAACAGGCTTCTCTCTCTCATTTTGTCAGATTCATCCAAAGGAATTTTTTAACACTATCACTTAGCTGTCTCTGTCCCACGGATATGCTGAAGGACTGGGTAGCTTTTTCCTTGGCTCTTATATAAAAATAATTCTTATCTATATTCATTTAACTAACATTTGTTTCATTGCGAAAAAAACTTAGTGATTCAAATATTTGCAAAAAGCAAATAATTATTAATAATTGAATAAGCTAAACCAAAATTACATTAATGTAGTCAAATGAAGAACAATTCTTGTGATGTTTACCCTGCTGCTGAATAAACTATCCTCACATTGTTTGCATTATGCTGGGCAGAGCTTTAGAACATTCCTCTACCAGCCGAACTTACCTCCCCTTCTGTGGACTGTAAGTGCAATTCTTTCCTACAGGTAGCCTTTAAGTCTCCTGCAGCTGCATTGACTTGCACTCCCCTAGGTGCTTCCATCACCAAAGATCTAGTAGGAGATTCAAGTCTGAAAGACAAAAAAACCCAATCACTGAGAAAAAATGCACTGAATCAAACCACCAAAAACCACTCAGCCCCAAACCCCACAATGCACATAGATATAAATACATTTTGAAAGGTAAAGAAGTAAAAATGAGTTATACATGTGATTCTCTCACTATCCTCTATGGCCCAGAGAAAGAAAAAAAAATAAGTATGTGTTTAAATCTATTCCTGTTTAAACATGTAAGCATATACTGATATAAACTTGTTTGCTTAGAGATGCTTTCTGGCATTAGTACCTAATTTACTTGACTGTACTAATACTGGAATATAGGTACTTAAGAATCCACACATCTCCGTGAGTGCTTCTGTAAGGAAATGTTAATAACTAAAGTCTACTTAGTGACTGGTGACAAATGCTCAACTAAATAAAAAGAAAATAAAACACTTAAAAAGTTTTAGATAATGATGTAAAACTGATTGATTAGAATTACTTTGCAGATTCATTCATATTTTGGGTAGGTGTAATAACATTATGTATGAAGAAGACAGGAAAATAAAATCTGTTATGTCTATATTACTGTGGTTTTTGGATGCTTTTTTTGTTCTGGAAAATACTCATTATGCTTTTTAACCCTGTTATAATAGGGTTAAGATGCATATCACTGGGTGTTGGTACCTTTCCTCAAAGCAAGTAATGTTCTTCTGCTGTCAGTCTTTCCATTTCTCTCTATCCTATACACAAGATCCTCCATCAACCTTAATGCGGAACTATGATACTTCCTTAGCCATGTTATCTCACAGTATTATACAGGTTTCTCTTGAAAGGGAAGCACTAATGCAATGATTTCCTAGAAGCCGTGCTCACACACTGAATAGGAAAGATAACCGGATGAAAACTGTATGAAACAAGGAAACAAAAATTTGGATTCCAGTTCTGTTCATCTGTCGACTTATTGCATAGCCTTGTTAAGAGGGAGACAAATCTTTTAATCTATTTATATGCCACTAACATAATGACAGAGCACAGTTCTACTTTTCTTGAACAAAAGCTTTTTGTAAGATGAAATGTATTCATGATAAAAATGTCTAGAATGAGTAGTTTGAAGAAAACATTGTATTTCCCTCTTCAACAAATTGTATTTTGAGTGTTAAGTCATATATCCATTGAAATATATAATGAGGCACTAGACGTATAAAGGAAAGAATAGTTTGGCAAAGAATTTGCTACAGAAAAGCCAAATGAAATATCTGTCAAGCAAAGGGACAAGGGAATTTCAGTGTATTTCAACTACTGAATTTTTTAAGTGTACAGACTAGTGATGGACTATCATCCAAATGAGAAACCAAAATGCCACATTTGCATGCACAGTAAGTCACTGAGATGGTGTCTGTGAAATATTTTTGCTTGTTACTTGTCACTGACACTCCATAGGGAAAG